TTGCACCTAGCACAGGCACAAACATCCTTAGCACCCATCTTCTGGCGCTTTTTGGCGCTCACAGCCAAAACCAAATGTCTGGCACCAGCTTCATCAATCAAGTTCATAGAACGAGTTGGACCAAGGAGCTCAGCAGCTTTGCTGCAAGCATAACAGTAGGCACCACACAAACGCACTGCACCTTTGAAGCCCCTTCGGGTTTTCCACTTCCCCTGGTGCTTCTTGACTTTGCAGAAAACACATTCGGGGGCCGAGTCCGGCACACTACCTTTACAACCTAATGACTTGGCCTTCTCACGCACCTTCATGGCATCAAGCTTCGTGAAAGTCTCGGGATGAAACTGGCGCAGGCTGACTACGTACTCATGCAGCGACAAGTCCTTAGAAACTTCCGGTGCAGAACAGTTTGCCAAATTGATTCTGCAAACCTCCAACAAAGCACTTGCAGCAGAAAAAAGGGAAAGATCATCAAACCTATGGAGAAAAAACTTTTATGCTTGGCATGTCCTTCACGTTTGTTACATGTGGGATCTTTTCTCCACGGGTCGTCTGCCATTCGTTTTGCATGGAATTGTTCATCGCTTTAATCCTATCTATTTACTATCTATATACTATCCATATACTTCCTATATACTATCTATATTCTATCTATGTTATATCTATACACTATATACGACCTATAAAATTACTACCTATACACTATCTATATTCTATCTTATATACTATCTATTTACTATCTATCTATCTATCTATCTGTCTGTCTATCTATCTATCTACCTACCTATCTACCTACGCGGCGCGGAAGCAAAGCAGCGCGCAGAAAACATCAACAACCAGCCGCAGCAAACGAAACCACCAGAGCAACGAGACACAAACCCAGCATCGCCAGCCAGAGCGCTCAACAGCATAGCCCACCAAGGACGGGAGCAGCGCAGCCCAACAGCAAAAGCAAAGCCAAGGATCCGAAGAGACTGCTTGTCCACGGCCATCACCAAGTAGCACCTGGGCGACGCAAGGTTGCCGACATTCCGCAATCACAACAACGCGAGCGCGTATAGAAAGTATATAGAGTATATCTGAAACACACGCATATATATATAAATATAAATGTGCATATATATATATATGTTATTATTAGATGAATATACATATATATATATACATACATATATAAATATCATATCATATATATATATATTACATATACATGTGTTACATATATTTAAAGATGTATGAAGAAAATATGCGATGGATATACGCCTGAAAATCCTACCTTCAAACATCTGCTCGGTCTACAAAAGAAAACGCTGCGACCTTATCCCAAAAAAACTGTCAGCTGCTGACGTCCCACAACTTCCAATGGACCCAAGAATTCCTTGGATCCAAAAAAAATATTGGAGCCACACATGCTTGTGCCAAGTAGGCACCAGCCACGTCCTATTTAGAACATTTTAGAACAAGAACACGCCACCGTAAAATGAACATCTAGCTGCACCTTCTCTGGAGTATTCTCCACATCTGCTGGGCGTTTCTTTTCGGGTGTGACAATCATGTCGCACTTCCCACTGCCCTGCGCCATTGGTGCTAAAGGAAGTGCTGAAGAGCACGTGAGCGATCCCAAATGGCTGCAAAGCCAAGGAAAAAATGCTTGCGTGCACCATTCGCAGAATGCAGGCACAAGCTTCCCACACACAAAAAGAAAGACATACAAAACAAGTTTCCCATGTGAAAGGTCGTTGTAAACCAAGGGAATAACTTGAACATCTAAATGTTTCATCTCCTTCAAAACCTTGAAGCTGCATGTCACAACGAAATCGATGCGACTTCCCAAAAAGTTTTCGACGCATGTAATGGCAAGATTTAGCGCAAATCGATGCGACTAAAGTGTCTGACAGTAGCAACTAGCTGTTTTTAATGATTATTTAAAACCGCCATTAACAATAAAATTTGAGATGATTACTAAACACCTATAAAAACAACGAGTTTTTACATGACATGGTTTTAAACAAAAAAACGCTATTAACAACTAGTTTTTTAGATGATTGTTAAAAACCGTTATTAACAACTAGTTTTTTAGATGATTATTATAACCTGCTATTTGAATCTACTTTTTGAGATGATTATAAACCGCTATTAACGACGAGTTTTTATATTTTTACTATAAACCTCCATCAACAACAAGTTTTGAGAAAATTATTATAAACAACTATTATCAACGAGTTTTTACATGATTATTATAAGCTGCCATTAGCAACGAGTTTATAGGTGATTTTCTGCTTACGTATTAACAACTATTTCTTTACATGGTTATTGAAAACCACTATCAAAAACTAGTTTTTAGATTATTATAAACCGCTTTTGTCAGATACGTTTTTTGATGATTATTACAACTAGTTGTGTTTTTAAAGATTATCAAATTATTATAAGCCGCCATTAACAATAAGTTTTGAGATGATTACTAAAAACCTCTATTAACAACGAGTTTTTACATGATTATTAAACACCGCTATTAACACAATGTTTTTTTAGGTGATTGTTAAAAACCGTTAGTTAGTTACTAACAACTAGTTTTTCAGGTGATTATTTAAAAAAACGCTATTAACAATTAGTTTTTAGATGATCATTATAAACCTTGATTAACAACTAGTTTGTTAGATGATTACTTTAAACCGCCATTTGTTAAGTTTTGAGATAGTTATTATAAACCGCTATTAACAACGAGTTTTTACATGAATATTAAAAACGCTATTAACACAAAGTTTTTTAGGTGATTGTTAAAAACCGTTACTAACAACTAGTGTTTCAGATGATTATTAAAAACCGCTATTAACAATTAGTTTTTAGATGATTATTATAAACCTTTATTAACAACTAGTTTGTTAGATGATGAATATAAACCGCCATTAACAATAAGCTTTGAGATATTTATTATAAACCGCTATTAACAACGAGTTTTTACATGAATATTAACAACCACTATTAACAACTATTGTTTTAGGTGAATGTTAAAAACCGTTATTAACAACAAGTTTTTTAGATGATTATTATAATCCGCTATTAACAACTAGCTTTTTGGTGATTATTAAAAACCGCTATTAACAACTAGTTTTGAAATGATTGAAATGATTATTATAAACCGCCATTAACAATAAGTTTTGAGATGATTCTTGAAAACCGCTATTAACAACGAGACCTTACATGATTATTATATATAAACCTCTATTAACCACCATGATACCACCATTCAGTGTTACGTTAATCTTATTGGATTTTTCCATGGTTCACCGGGCGAACCTTCTCAGCAAGTCCGGCAAGGCAGCCAGGCGACACTGTCCCTGGGATCCGTTTGAAAGTCTCGGGACTCGGGGAGGTCCAAGATGTAAAAAACGATACAGGGAATACATGGGAATACTACATAAAGAAAAGATACATACATATATATATATATATCCAACTATATGTATCATATATGTATATAATTTAGCATTTTGATGGAAATTTGGGATCCAACTCAGAACTTCTAAATTCTGACCCGATTATTCACCACTATCTAAGACCCAGACTGCCGGTAGTTCGCCCCCATCGTTTTTGTTGCCATCTTCAGCTGTATCTTCCTGAAGAGGACTGAAACAGTTTTTTCAAGAAGGACATGGTTTGCTTCCTAGTCAGGACCCAATCCACCAGCATGGTCTATGTCTTGGTAGGGAAAACAATCCACAAATCTGGCTAAAGGGGTGGATGGTGCACTCGAAAATCTTCAGACGAATGGATCCCAGGTCTGGTAGATACGACTGCATTCTTTCGACTTAAATCATCCAGAACCACTTCCCCCGAATCATAATACCCCCACAGGCCCCACACCAAACCCCCTGTTTGGTATTGGATCGGTCACACCGTGGGGTCCCTCATTCTGTCTCCATTCTGCCCCCAGAAACTGGGGATTTCCCGCATGGCCATGTGACTAATGACATCCGAGAGCAAGTGACTAATGAACATCAACCGTAAAATATCCATCTCTAACCATTGTTAACCAAATCCACATGTAATAATTAAATCCAAATCTAATCCACATTTAATCCACTTTGAATACACATTCAATCCACATTTAATCCACTTTAAATCCACATTAAACCCACATTTAATCCACATTGAATACACATTCAATCCACATTTAATCCACTTTAAATCCACATTAAACCCACATTTAATCCACATTGAATACACATTAAATCCACATATCACCGCATGTTTTCAGCATTTTTCATCAGCCCCAATGGAGCTGTCGCCTCTAGGGCTTTCAGCAGTTGCTGTTTCAGCTCTCGTAGTGATCGCTGGGAACAGAGTTCCACCTGCCCCAAGAAAGCGCAGGGATATATCTGGGTAAATTTTAATATTTCACTAATCTGAAAAAGGGGGATGATTCCCCTTACTAACCAGTATTCCAGTGAGGTCACAGAGAGGTCACAATAATTTGCCCAGAACTATCATGATTTACAGTGATATTATTATATGTTCACAATACGGCTAATCAAAATGCATAAATGACACATACCTAGGTCTTCCCTTAGGGTCACTTTTTTTGCTTTTTTGGAAGGAATTAGGTTTTCACATGTTTCGGCGATTCTTATGATTTCATGCTCCTTGCAGCATTTTGGGTATCCAGCCCCTACCTTTGACCTCGACTTGACCGACCCTGAGCTCAAGATCACCAAGTGCGCTCTCCAGAGATTTCTCTCTTTTTCCTCCCATTTCTCTTTGGCTTGTAGGTACTTGGCAGTGAGATGCTAAGCTCCAAGCGGCCAAAGCAGGCTGGCTGTTCTTCGATGTTACTTTCTGGTGAAATTTGCATTTTGATGGCCACTTAAATTACATTTGGGGGATTGAATGAAAACAGTGCTGCCTCATCCATAGCCTCCCTGCTCAAAGCCTCACCAACGCTAGAGCTCACCAAAACCTTGGCCGGCGAAATGACTCAGCCTGTCCCCACACCATTGCACAGGATGTGGGAGGACAAATCTTTGATTCGAGACAGAGCTAGGTCCCTGAAGAAGATTCTTGACTGGCCCACGGTCAATGGAGTTTACCTTGTTGGGGCGCCTTCTAAGAGAGCCTTTGCCATGAACAAGGTCATCTTGGATTTGACTGCCCAATGGTGGACCCCTCAAAGAGATTATCCCGAATCTGTGCAGATCGCATTGATTAGGGAAGAGGTGGGGGACCCTAGCAACAAAATGTTCAATTTTATTCCCCATGCACCTGCCAGGTGCGGGTTGTTAGATTTTATCAGAGTTGTTCTTCTCCTCTTCCTCCTCCTCCTTGCTCCTCCTTCTCCTCCTCCTCTTCTACCACCTCTGCCTCCACTTCCACGTCCACTGTTGCCTTGCCAACTCTTCTGGACCTCAACCTGGGACCTTCCCAGCTCAGTGCGCACCGCTGGACCTCAACCTGGGACCTTCCTAGCTCAGTGCGCACCGCTTGACCTCAACCTGGGACCTTCCTAGCTCAGTGCGCACCGCTGGACCTCAACCTGGGACCTGCCGAGCTCAGCGCGCACCGCTGGACCTCAACCCACGGCCTTCCGAGCTCAGTGCGCACCGCTGGACCTCAAAAGCCAGATAGAATGCCAGAAGATATGTCAGATAGAATGTCAGATGGAATGCGAGAAGATATGCCGCTATGCCAGATAAAATGCGATAAGATTTGCCAGAAGATATGCCAGATAGAATGTTAGAAGATATGCCAGATAGAATGCCAGAAGGTATGCCAGATAGAATGCCAGATAAAATGTCAGATAGAATGCCAGAAGATATGCCAGATAAAGTGCCAGAATGTTTGCCAGATAAAGTGCCAGATGATATGCCAGATAGAATGCCAGATGGAATGCCAGAAGATATGCCAGAACATCTGCCAAAAGATATGCCAGGTAGAATGCCAGAAGCTATGCCAGATAGAATGCCAGATAAAATGCCAGAAGATATGTCAGATAGAATGCCAGAAGATTTGCCAGTAACAAAACGTATAGATGTCATGGTGGGGATAACTCGAAGTAAAGTAATTTAGCAGTTCATAGCTAGACTCAGACCAGATTTATTTTTCATAGTATCTGTTCCGGGTTACGCTTGTTACAATAATTAGCAACATGAAGAATGTGCATGATCCTGAAGGTCAAGAAGTTCAGGGCCTTGCTCAACCTGGACCCGCTGGATGTTGCATCCGTCAGTGTTGATAGTTGGGGAATCAAAAAGTTGTTCTCTTACGCGCTGCGGAGATGGTGTGCAGCATCCTTGAACCCCAGAGATCCTCACATGCAACATGCATTTTTTTGATTCATTCCACCCCTGTCATGGTTATGTCAAGTGGTTGACGTGGTTTTAAAAATTGATACCAGATTAAAGCCCTATGTTCATCTAGCTCGATGCCAGGATGAATGTCTTCTGGACATCTATGACACCTTCTCAACCTACTGGGAGGACCCCTCTGCTGGCAGCAGCACTGACAATGACACTGGTGCATCGGCACCTGGGGTGGCCCCACCCATGTTGGCAATCCTGGATGGAAGTGTCTATGAGGTTGAAGATGATGATCCCCCTGTGGTCCCTGTGACTGGTGATGCATACATGGCGCCACCGGCACCTGTGCCTGCTGTGCCTGCTCCCATGAGCCCTGTGGCCCCGACATCTTCGGCGACGCCGCCGGCGGAGAGAGATGAAATCCTCGCACGGCTGGCTGCCATCAAGCAACTTGACTGAAGGGTTTGGGAGTAGTTACAAGGATCAACCACATTCATTTCAAATCGATAAGCAGCATTTTTTTCATTGGTATATATATATCGATCTATCTCATTATGTTTAAAAATCGAAACTTGTAAATCAGCAATGGGCATAGATGTTCAGAATTGACCCTGACAAGAAATATTTATAATGCACATGTCCATGACTGCCATTGCGAGGATGGAAATGGACCGTCGGAAAGCTAGTCGGGCTGAAGAGCATGCTTCTGCTCTGACTTCGGCTGGAGGACCCTGACAATTGAAAATGGGGGGGGGCGGACTAAACAGTTTAGTTCCTCTTTGGTTGCACCGGGCCCATTAAAGAAGTATGTGCCCAGTCAGACCACCTACATCCATCTACTATAAGCAGAAAAAATAAAACCATGCAGGACAGAGTGCCATTAGTGGCAGTGACCTGGACAACATGGAGACCTTGCCTTTGGAGCCCACGGTTGAAGCCGCAAAGGCACCTTGTGATGGCCTGACAATCTCACCTCCCGAGCTCAGTTCCAGTGACCTCAAACAGCTTTCGCCTGAGAAGATCAGCCCTGAAGCTACCTCGAAGGAGGAGCAGGAAAACCAGAAGGTTGAGAACCAACATGATGGGAAGGTTGATGAGGCGCTCTCCCCTGCGCACAGCGGAGGGCCAAAGTCAGTGACGGAACCTATTCCGGAGGAAAGTGCTGTGTCAAAGAAACGGGTTGAAGAGGAGCTGCACAAGGGTTCTGGCCAGGAGCCCCCGACGGCCAAGAAGCAGAAGGCGGCAAAAGATGAGAAACCTCTGGTTGAGAATCAAGCTCCCGATTTGCTGGACATGGAGGCTTGGTGCCAGTAAGCACCCAGCAGAACAAACAAAATCTATAAGGGCAATTTTTTTGACATCTAGCTGAGGTAGCAGGTAGCACTAGGCCTAGTCCATCTTTTCGAAAAAACCTACTCAAATTTGAATGGGCTCCTTTACTGTTCCTTTCGTTTACTCTTCCTTCTGTCAACTTCTCCGCTGCAGGCCCCAATCGTCAAGCGCAAAGCCCAGCTTGGAAAAGTTGTGGACCTGGATGGCCCATGCCATTCGAAGGAGACTGAGGCCGATGAGGTTGTTGATGATGGTGAGGATGTTCCCGATCCTGGTCGCGGCCGTGGCAAAGGTCGTGGCCGTGGCCGAGCTCGTGGGCGTGGTCGTGGTGGAGCCAACAAAAAGAATTCCAAAGGTGAAGAAGCGATGGTTGATCTGGACAGCGATGATGAGCCGGAGGCAAAGAAGAAGGACAAGAAGGCAGGAGAGGGAGGAGAGGTTGAAGAGCTTCCAACTACTACTAGCCCTGCTGAGACAGAGCCCATGGAGTCGAAGCCCAAGCGCAAGAAAAGAAAGGCAGCAGAAGGATCTGAGACACATGGGAAGAAGGCCAAAGGCAACAAAGGGAACACCCCCGTGGCAGAATCTGCTGGTTCGAAAAAGGACAAGGCGACCAAGACCAAGAAGCCAGAGGCTGACAAAGGCGATGCAGACAAAGGCAGCGATGAGGTCACTACGTTTGGTGGCAGATACTGCCCCAAGTCAGGTGAGTCGCGCGATCGGTGGCTGGCACTTCGGGATGTTTTCAACACTGAGATCAAGCCGCGTGTCACGGCCCCTTCCAAGTTACAGGTGATTGGGCTGTCCGGGCAGGTATGTAAAAGAGACATAAAGCCTATAGATGTTCTTTATCAGTTTATCACTATTTGTAATTATAGTAATTATTATGTGTACTTGTTTATTTATCTTCTTATGTGCTTATCTACTTATATCCTTATCCTACTTGTCCATCTATCTATCGACATCTACCTACCTACCTCCTACCTATCTATCTATCTATCTGTCTATCTATCTATCTATCTATCTAGCTATCTGTCTATCGATTTATCTATCTATCTGTCCCTTTGTAGACAAATTATCTTTATCTGTCTCACCGGGGAAACTTGTTTTTGCCTAGCAAAAAAATCGACCTGCACGCCTCTGGCAAGTCAAATGGTGGAACGTCTGCATGGCTTCCAAGGAGATCAAGCTGGCTACCGCCTATGAGGAGTTTAAGTCTGCCGCTATGAACTTACAAGCTGGGTTCCCTGGACCCTTCGGCTGCATGTGAACAAACGCTATTTTGGTATGAAATAGAAGCTTCTACCAAGCCCATGCCTGAATTAGGGACATTTTTCTTTTCTGTTCAGGGAAGCCGCCAACGTACCCAGGGTTTCCAACTAGATCGACCCTTTGAAAGCTGAGGAGATTTGATCTCAACTGAGAATGCAGAGCCCGCAGTAGCAGAAGCGCCGGCCTCCTGATTTGTTACTGTATGATTCTAATCTTTTCTAGGGGTGCGACAGTTTGCATTTCAAACTGTCCAATTTGGAGTTTCGAAATCTAGGATCTAGCAACGATTGCCTGGTTCATGCTGGCAGTCCAATCCCATTCCAGTGCAGCAGCCTGCAGTCCTTGAGGGAAGGATGACATATCCAAGAACCTTTGGGGACTTAGCGGGAGAGCTGAAAATCATGTCTTGCGACGTCCAGAGCTGAAAAGAAAGCTAATTCTGTGAACAAGCTTTGACACTGATGGCCCGTATCACATTCAAAACTTGGGTCTCACCATGTCACACCGTTTTGGGAGGTTAGCCACTGGACATGCCAAAGCCCGGAGCTTACTTCTCCACTAAATTTGGTGGTTGTTGATGTGTCTGATACCCAAGTCGGGCACCCATTCAGCTACCCGATGCCTTGTGCAGGAAGCGTGGACACATACCACATGCAGCCCTCATCCGTGGATACGGGGCCCCAGACTACAGTAGTTGCAGCGGGTCCCAAAGTCAGCCTGCCATGCTTGATGATGTCACCAAGTGCTCCACTGATAATTATTCCTTCTCCATTGGTTGCTTCAACTGCATGATTTTTGAACTCTACTTAGCAGCCCACTTTGCTTCAAAAAAAAGCCGGCCAACTTGGTTTCTAGCCATGTCGCCCCAAGCATTTGAACTGGTTCTTCGTCGGCTTATGACTTTGGGGTGCCCAGCTGATACTTGGATAATATTTAGAAAAGGACAACCAGTGCTACAGAATGCCCACACCCACTAGCACTCAAGTCTCTGAAAGTCGCCCCCCCAGGACTTTATCTATCTCGTGATCTTTGTCTACTTCATGGACCTGGGAGACTTGCATCATCAGACCTTGAAACTAGACCTGATTGAGTTCTTTTCTGGAGTAGCCCGTGTTGCCCGATTTGCAACTCGGTGTGGCTACAGCACAAGAGCTTATGATATCTCCTATGACAAGAAACACAAAGGGAAATTCCGATTTTCGACCCATAATGGTCAGAAGAAACGAGCCTTCATGGACATGAACGGGGAAGCTGGCTTTGTGCTCCTAGGCAGCCACAGGTCTTTTGGAATACTGATACATATATATATATATGTATTAGTTTTATATATATTATATATATATACGTATCAATATGACCCATGTCAATATACCCATGTCTGTCAACGCCATTTCCCACAATAATAAATTCATTTTCTGGGGTGGCCTGGACATGTTTCCAACCATTATTCCTAGATTTTGCAGCCCTTCAGCCATTCCAGGTTAGCTTTGGCACTGGTCCTATGTGGATCTTGGGGTGAACTGCTGGTCATACTAGCTATCGTGTGTTCAAGCTGGAGCCCTGTCAATCTTGGAACATCAGAACGAGATTGCCTAATCCCAATGGGGGCGACTTACAAGCCTTCAGTTCGTTCAGCCAACAAAATGACTTCAAGGCCATAGTGTTTCAAAACTTGGACCACCTGTACTGACTATGAAAGGTGTTTTCTATCGGGAAATGTCATTTTACAACTACCATGGGCAGGTCAACTTTGTTGATGGCACTTATTGTGTGTATGGATTCAGTTTTCCTACTGGAAAACCCTGGTGGCTCATGCATCCTCCAACATGTCAGACTGCAATGGTTGTTCCGAAAGCTCAAGGAGTTTGACCACCCAGCACTTTAGCACATTTCAGCCCTTTGGGGTGTCTATTGATGTAGGAGGTTTTAGTTCAGTTTAGGGCCCCAATTTCCTTTTAACAAATCACACATGATACTCCTCCAGCCCTGCTCTGCCAAGGTATTTCGAACTTCGTTTTGGATGAGTGGCTTTGGATCACCCACCCCGAAAAGGACCCTCATTGCTGCAAATTCTTCTTGGATCAGTATGCTGGAAACTGGGGCCATGGTTCGAAAATTCATTGATGCAAAGGAATCTGACAAGACCTGTGAGCAATATGTTGACAGCAATGGTGTTGTTCGATACAAGGGGGCGCCTGGGTTGAAGCGATCCCAGAAACTAGGCCAACATTTAATAATGTTGTCACAATATTTCCCAAACTTGTTCATTTTGAAATTCTACCAAGAAGAAAAAAGTTGTTTTTTTCAATGCATGTGACCAAACCTAGGGTGTACACCCCGAAATTTGCAAGAGCCTTGATTGAACTCCTGCCCAAGACCCGAGCGGAGACCCGAACCAGCATCCCTGCAGTGACTGGTCCATGATTTGATTTGATACTTCGGTTTTAGCGTTTGTTCTTCAAATTTAAAGGGCGACAGATCTACTAACTGAACATTACCTTTTGTTAGCAGGTCATGCAGACCAATCCTGCATCTGTCCTTTCTTTGCTACCCAGGCCAAACCAACTGTGCCTATTTGCGCGGCGGTGGCTGAGTTGGAGTGGTCATGTTGGGAAGAACAGTGAGCTGACCGACTGCTTGATGTATCTAATGGGCTCTAGCAAATTTAGACTGCCAAATGAATGGGCAGCCTGCGTTCCAACAATGGAACAGGTTATGGAGCTCCGATGATTCAGAACAGGTGCCTTATGACAACAATCCCATTCCAAATGTCTTGGATTGTCTTGATGACACATTTTGAGAACTTATCGAAAACATATGTTTTTTTTTCGGCGATTTTTCCCGGCATTTCGGCGATTTTTCCCGGCATTTCGGCGATTTTACCCGAACCGTGTTTTTCCAACTTTTCAAAGGACCCTGTTCTGAAATTAATGTCCACCAACTTCAATAGAATGGCTCGTGGCAGGGTTTTGCCCAACAAACTGGCATACCATCAGCAGGCAAAAATGCTTACAATCCCATCAGCTACATTGAGGATTGCTTGAGCTCCAAAATGAACATCAACGATTTCGAACATTATTGTTGTCCAGTTGATTGATTTTGTGGCCCGAAAGGTGAAAAATGTCCGACGTTCAAAAGGGTTGGTCTTGTAGCACCCTGATGGCGGGCGTGGCTGCGATAGGGCAGCAGGATGCCTTCCTCAGAAGTACTTCTGATGAAGCATTGGAACGTGAGTATGCAGCCCCTACGTTCTGACTTGGAACGGTTTGGTTTTGTCATTGAAGTTGGGTTCCCATACATAGGGTTAAAATTGGGATTCCTTACCTTTTAAAAAAAATGAAATCACACAGTTGGCAATCAGGAGCTTGTGGGGCGTATTGATGCTGTGCCATCCAGTGGCCAATTGCAAGTCGCTTCTGTTAAGTCAGTGATGAGTCCCCAAACAACAAAGAAGTACACTGCACAGGAGATGAGAGAGGTATACACGGATGCTCAGCCACGTAGTTCACCCTATTTTTCGCCACCGAATACTGAAGGCAACTCTCTGGCAGACCCTCAGGTTTATAGAACAGTTTCTATTTTTTGAATTGGGTTATGCATGTTTGTATGGGGCGATTTGTGACTAGACCACCTTGGGTATTATCCACTTATGAAATTAAAATTACACCCAACAAGCCGTAGCTTTCAACATTCTTTCTGGCAAAAGCCTCAATGAACACATGATATATATATATATATTTGGGCTCATATCAAGCTGAGGATACATACATCGACTCTGAGACCAAGAATGCCTTGCCCAGTAATGCCATCATACCAGTTCCCACTCCTGTTCGCCAGTCCCAGCCAACCAGAGCTCCAGGCCTTGCAGGCTTGATTCCTCGCAGGCTCGACTTGTCGCCTGCAAACCGACCGGGGAGGGAACCGCTCCAGCTTGAAAGTAGTGATGGGGAAAGTCCACATGAAGATGATGATGATGTAGAGTCTGATGCAGCTTATTACGGTGGCCCCCCCCAAAAGATTACTGTGGAGATCCCGTCTATCACAGACACCGCGGCCAAGAAACCACGTGCTGGTGAGTTGAAGTTGGGTCCCAACGCTATCAAGTCAAGAATGTGCCGTGTCTTCACACCTACTTTGAAAGGAACGTTGAAAGTATCGCAACAGATCATGGATGAGTGGAATTCCGGCCCCAAGACCAAAAAACGTCAGCAGCTGGAACAAATCTTTGCTCTTTGTGGGTATGATCCCGAACTTTGCCACACATAGCGAAGATTCTTTATTATATATTTTTCCCCCTTCATTTTTCTGAAGAGTTTATGGTTTCTGCTTTGGAAAACCCACTGTGCATGTCTTGATTCAATGAGCAGCTCCTTGCCCAGGAAACGTTCATTCAGGAAGTGGAGGTGATTCGGTCTGAGATGGAAGAATCTGAAGTGACGATTGAAGGGGAGTACATCTCCAGGGAAGATATGTTGAATGATTGGGGGTGGTCTGAGACACTTGACTGTTTAGCTTGTTCTCTGACCACTTTTTGTGGACACATGCATGTATCAAAACAACCCCAAGCTTTTAAATACTATTTTTGGGGAACTAAGATGGACTAAGGAAGCGAGTGTCTGCAGTGATTCGCTTCTGCCGGACCAATCCCGCCAAGTACATGAGGCCGCAGTGGCAACATCTATCAGATTCAATCTGTTTGTTTTGTAGCTAGTGATCCAAACAATCTACTCCATGCATCCAGGCGTGACCAATACGAGAAGAAGACCCTGTATTGGGCCGAAAAAACCGTGAAAGGCACAATCAAGTAACTTGGATTGCAGGTTTGTTCAAAAATAGTCACCAAGCACATCCAAGTTCCAAATACCTCACCCACTAGCACCTTAAGCTAAACCGCTTCCCGGCAAGGAAGAAGAGCTGCGTGGCCATGAACCGCAGAATGTCCTGGTTGGAACGGGGCGCCAGTGGGTCGATGGCGCCGGCTGAGTTGGGAAGTTTGTTGGCTCAACCTGTCAAAGCTACAAAGGAGGAGACCCCCCAAGGTTGGCTTTGATATAAAACAACCTCTGGTTTTTGACAAGCCATCAAACGGTTTGTTGCATTTAGTATTGTAACTTTGTACATGTTCCAATCAATGCTGGACATCAGTTACCTGTGCTGGGAATTAAAAATCCCACTTGATTATTCACATCGGTCTTCCAAGTTTTTGCGGTTGAATCTTTCTTACCCCTGTAGATGAAGAAGAGTCAGCACCAGAAGATCCCGATGCCGATCTAGAAGCTGATCACCTTGGTAACCTTCGAAAAGCAGCAGGGTTGCCAGAACTTCCTGATGATGGACTACCAAGCGCATCTGCCCAGAAAATGATGTGCCTAGCCTAGCTAGCATGATAGGGCGTTGGTATGATAGAAAGAAAAAAAGATAGATAGGTAGATAGATAGATAGATAGATAGATAAGTAGAGCAGTAGACCTATAATATAATTCACTGTATGTATATATCTCTGTATCTTTAATATCTCTATGGTCCCCTTTGATTCGTTTGCCATACCCAGGACATGCTTGTCCAAGAGGATCACCAAGCTTCAGCAAGGCTTGGAAAGGTACACCGAATCAGATGCCCTATCCGAGCTCCAAAAAAGGACATGTGACTGGTAGAGTTTCGGGGGCCCCAACTCTAGTCATGCGCTATGTGAATCATTATATATATATAATATTAAATAATACTTTGAGATGAATAATGACTGGTGGTGTGCTGTCAAACTCGCTTTTTATACCCAACAACTCTAGGTTCCCACAATGGGGGTACCCCTAAAGCATCAAAAATAGACCATGTTAGTATTGAAACCAATGATTTTTAGGGGTCCACCATTTGAAGAAAGCCCAATATTATACTATTTTGTTATCAATAGATTCCAGGTTGATCATGGGCATTTTTCCCCACCTGCCAGGTGAGGGTTGTTAGATTTTATCAGAGTTGTTCTTCTCCTCTTCCTCCTCCTCCTTCCTCCTCCTTCCTCCTCCTTCCTCCTCCTTCCTCCTCCTTCTCCTCCTTCTCCTCCTCCTTCTCCTCCTTCTCCTCCTCCGCGTCCTCCTCCTCTTCTACCACCTCTGCCTCCACTTCCACGTCCACTGTTGCCTTGCCAACTCTTGGCCAAGCTCTTCGCCAACTTCGGAGCTCAGTGCGCACTGCTGGACCTCAACCTGGGACCTTCCCAGCTCAGTGCGCACCACTGGACCTCAACCTGGGACCTTCCTAGCTCAGTGCGCACCGCTGGACCTCAACCTGGGACCTGCCGAGCTCAGCGCGCACCGCTGGACCTCAACCTGGGGCCTTCCGAGCTCAGTGCGCACCGCTGGACCTCAAAAGCCAGATAGAATGCCAGAAGATATGCCAGATAGAATGTCAGATACAATGCGAGAAGATATGCCAGATAAAATGCCATAAGATTTGCCAGAAGATATGCCAGATAGAATGTTAGAAGATATGCCAGATAGAATGCCAGAAGGTATGCCAGATAGAATGCCAGATAAAATGTCAGATAGAATGCCAGAAGATATGCCAGATAAAGTGCCAGAATGTTTGCCAGATAAAGTGCCAGAAGATTTGCCCGATGATATGCCAGATAGAATGGCAGATGGAATGCCAGAAGATATGCCAGATCATCTGCCAAAAGATATGCCAGGTAGAATGCCAGAAGCTATGCCAGATACAATGCCAGAAGATATGCCAGATAGAATGCCAGAAGATTTGCCAGTAACAAAACGTATAGATGTCATGGTGGGGATAACTCGAAGTAAAGTATTTTTCAATCTCTCACCGGATACTTGGATAAGATACCCCAGGATGAAAACGAAGATTGAAGAAACGATTTCAGCGCTGGAGAAGATACATGGTGATATCGAAACTTGCTTTACCAATGGCGTGGTGGATGGTCTGAACAGGAAGCTCTTTCCTCAGAGTTGATGGGACAATTTCTCGTTTTTACATATTATATAACCCCCGAAACCCTTATCATCCACTCAGGGTGGAGGGTGAGCTGAAGGGCCTCCATGGCACTGCGCAGCGGCTGTTTCGGCCTCAGGGCCACTGGTTCCGTCTTTGATATCTTTTCAATGTGCGTCCTACTGCCCAGGGCCATGGAAGCCGTAAACTTGGAAGGTCGAATGAGGCACGCCCAAACTTTATCCTTCACAAGCTACCTATCCAGACAAGTCCAAGAACCTAGCTTCAACTTTGCTGCAGGTCGCTGTACCCCAAGAAGGAAGCTGAGCAGCGCCCCCGTCCCAAGAGGCGCCCGAGGCCAAAGGCCAAGGGCAAATGCAAGGCAAAAGCTAAGGCTGTCGCCGCCAAAACAGAGGAGCTATCGGATGATGAGGAACCACCTCGCAGACGCCGGCGTAAGTCATAATGGATGACTTGTGACTTTTGGGGTTGCTGTGGTGCACTTGCCATGAGGCTGCAAACATGCCCCAGTCCTTCTTCATGTTTAGTAGCTGCTTGTTTCATAAGCTACACATACCCCTGCATCTAATTATGTTATGCTTTTCTGGCGGCAGTGCGCTACCACCAGCTGTTCGAAATTTGATGCGTTGGAATTCCAATGCCAATGAGTCTAGACACATCTTTGGGGATCATGGCTTTTCTGAGCAGAACAAAAAAGAAGGCCAAGCAGACTTCATGGTCAAGCCGTACAAACTATCACCCATTCCCCTGGAAGTCACTTGCGAACCTGTGAGCTTTATTCAGAGATTATTCAACAAAATTTTGTTCCGTTTGCTTGTCCTCGTCTGCCAGGTTTATACCGCCCTGGCCCACTAGCAGAATCGTTTGCCGAAGCAGTTGCAGATGGAGCCAGGGCCCCATCAAATCCTTTTTGCTGAATGTGAACTTCGAAATCTCTTTTTGGGGGATAGCGATTTGCCTTTTGAGGTAACCATCGGTGTAAAATGAAGCAGCATCATCAAAATACCCACCATCAGTGCCCCGAGTTAGAGTCTGAGGTCCCAGCAACTGCTATCGATGGCATGGCCCGGCGGGCTGCCATGGAAGCTCAGGGCGGCCTTAGAGATTCACCGGCTGAAGTTCCCAGTTCTGGGAAAAATGCATCAAGAGCAGTCCATCGCATGATACACCGCCTGGGTTTCAACTGGAGGATTCCTGTTTCGGAGATGGTTTACACGTTTGGGACACAAGAGCTGCGCCTTCCCTACCTGTCGCCTTTGAAGAGCTACAAATTTTTGATTTCCAACTACCCTGAGCTTGTCTTTGGAGGGTTTAGCCAGGACAAAGACATTCAAAGACTACTCAAAAGCTTCTGGGCAGAATACAGAAATGTGCATCCTGGCCATGTGGTTTTTCAAGATCAACCTGATGGCAATGATGCCTTATCACTTACAGTTCCGTTGATCTTTTATGGAGATGAAGGCAGGGGCCGACGTCGAGGAAATACTGCACTGATGACATTAGAGACAATTTTCGGGCTGTCCACTGCTGAAAATGTGAGGAAGGGGAATCATTGCTTCAAGTGCGCTTGTTGTCCTGACGACCGCTTGCTGCAGCGCTATCCATGTGGGGAAGATCATCCAGCAAACCCGCATTATGCAGCGCATGCCAGCCACAACTTCAAGGAGCATGTTTTCCTAAGCAGAGTTCCAATGTTTTTGCTGCCGTGTGCCCTTTACAAAGAGCATCCAGACCTCCTTTGCTTCATGGTTCGAAAAATTACAATGGAGCTACGCAGCCTCTACTATGAAGGGCTTACCATCCGTGGCAAGACCTGGACTATAGCCCTTCTAGGGATGAAAGGGGATGCCAAGTGGCTAGCAGAAATGGGGTCTCTAACCCGCTTCTATGGCAAGAAGGGTCGCAAGCGAAGTTTAGCCATGTGCCACGAGTGTTATGCGGGTTTAGAGCGGTATCCTTATGAGGATGTTAGCTCAATTCCGCGCTGGACTGAAACCCTTTACAGAAGCAGACCTTGGCATCAGGATTTTCAACCTTGTTTCATTCAGCTTCCTTTTGATCGCCTACAGCCTGAGCGGTTTCTACGGCGTGATTTGATGCACATCACAAAGTTGGGGCTTTATCGTCACCACATCGGTTCTACTATTGCGACTCTGGTCAAGTGGAACTTTTTTAGATGGCCTGACCGAGGGATCAAGAACGATATCCCTACTCAGCTTGAGCGTGCCTACGGACAGTTTCGACTGTGGTGCACGACGTTCCAAAAAACAGCGGCCCTGCGAAGTTTCAGCCGGGCACTTCTAAATTGGAAGTCTGCAAGCACTTACCCATGGGCAAACGTGAAAGCTTCTGATGCGGTGCTTCTCAACCAGTGGATTCAAGAGGCCTTGCTACCAGCAGCTATCCGTGAATCTACAGATCCAAAACAACAAAGCATGCTGTTGGTCATGAAAGGGATTAGTGAGTCCATGTCACGATTTTCCCAGCTACTGTTTCATCACCAACTCTTGGCGCATCGCCGATGTTGTGTTGCTATGTTGGGGGAAGGAAAGCAAATCCTCAATGGCTACGCTTGGCTGGCTCATGAGATCAATCCTCTTTGTGGGTGGGCAATGGTGCCTAAGGTCCATATGTTCAGGCATGTCCTCCACGATGCAGAGTTGTTTTTACAACAGACTGCTGGGGTAGATTCACAACAAAAGCTGTTCTTGTCACCACTGGCCTTCTCAAATGAATGCAATGAAGACATGATAGGAAAATGTTGCCGCCTTGCGCGGCGAGTTGATGCTAGAAGCATGCAAAGGCGTGTCTTACAGTTGTGGCTTGTAAAAGCCAAAATCTTACATGAAAGATGGAAGAAGAAAACGGGTTTCAATCATGAAACCAATCGTCAAACCTGAGGATCGGGCACTGCTGCTGGCGAACTGGTAGACAATCCCAGCAAAGAGATGCAGCCAAAATGGGTCAGCATCAGGGGTGGTAGGGACATGTGGTGCCGGTGGTGCCCAAATGTTAAACCCACATCTTGGTTTCGGCAATTTTGGGGAATTTCGATTAAAATTCTCTTGAAACCACCTCTCGGCAAAAATTTTGCCCAACCAGAGGTTCCAGGTATAATCGCTTGAATAATATATATCTTTGTTACCCAAAAAATATAGGGAGGTTTTATGGAGGTTTCCTTCAAAAATGAGACGTAAACACTTGAATGCTTGAATACTCACGATCTCATATGGAGGTTTCCTAAAATGGGGGATCACCAAGTCCCCATATGTCCCCATGGGCTTCAATACTAAGTCATGGTCATCGACTTGGATGATTCGGGGCCTCCTCCATGACTTAGGAAACCTCCAATCTATGGGGGATGTTTTTCAGTGGATTTAGTGGGACACTGGGATACAATGGGATGTAATAGGATATAACAACTGGGTGTATTCAGTGTATTGACATAGTTCGGGAAATCTTTACTGTAATAGGGCAAACCATTCTTACTCATTGAAACGAGGATAGTGGGTAATATCATGGTGTATATATATATATATCACATATATATATGTATCTGGGTAAATCATAATATTTCTAACCTGAATTAAGGCCATTTGGGGATGATTTCCATTATTAACCATGATTCCAGCGAGGGAGAACAGTAAGGTCGATATAATTTACCCAGATGTATGTATGAAATCAAAACTCAAAACATAACTGCCAATCAAATCCAATCAATATATCTGAAGATGTTTGAAACATTGTGGAATAAAACCATCATGTCTAACACCAATCATGTCCACGGCAAAAACAGAGTCAGTCACCTGAGTCAGTCGCTCCAAACGTCCGAGTCAGGAACCCCATAGGACAAAGTCAGTCACCGGTGAACAATAGCACAGAATGCAGGGAAACCAGGAAGAGGAGACAGAGAGTCAGCAACCGAGAGTTAGTCACCCCTCGGAAGCCGGGAGGAGGATCAAGGAACCCGGAGGAAAACAGCAAGTCAACAACAAAGAGTCGGTCACCCCTGAAAGCTATCTATCTATCTATCTATCTATCTGTCTATCTCTCTATCTATCTGTCTATCTATCTACCTATCTGTCTATCTATCTATCTATCTGTCTATCTATCTATCTGTCTATCTATCTATCTGTCTATCTATCTATCTATCTGTTTATCTATATATCTATCTATCTGTCTATCTATCTATCTGTCTGTCTGTCTGTCTATCTATCTATTTATCTATCTATCTATCTGTCTATCTGTCTACCTGTCTACCTGTCTATCTGTCTATCTGTCTATCTGTCTATCTATTTATCTATCTATCTATCTGTCTATCTATCTATCTGTCTATCTATCTATCTAGCTGTCTCTCTATCTGTCTATCTATCCATCTACCTATCTATCTATCTATCTATCTATCTATCTATCTATCTATCTATCTATCTATCTATCTATGTGTCTATCTATCTATCTGTCTGTCTGTCTATCTATCTATCTGTCTATCTATCTATCTATCTATCTATCTATTTATCTATCTATCTATCTGTCTGTCTGTCTATCTATCTATCTATCGATCTATCTATCTATCTATCTGTCTGTCTACCTATCTATCTATCTATCTATCGATCCATCTATCCATCTATCCATCTATCCATCTATCCATCTATCCATCTATCCATCTATCCATCTGTCCATCTATCCGTCTATCCATCTATCCATCTATCCGTCTATCCGTCATCCGTCTATCCGTCTATCCGTCTATCCCTCTATCCATCTATCCATCTATCCATCTATCCATCTATCCATCTATCCATCTATCCATCTATCTATCTGTCTATCTATCTATCTATCCATCTATCTATCTATCTATCTATCTATCTATCTATCTAGGAACCCATGGGAACATGGAAAAACGGAACGTCAACAACAAAGAGTTCCTCAAGAAACCTTAACGCAACCCTAAAGAACCCAAAGCAACACTAAGTAAAGCCTAAACCAACCCTCATGCAAACCCTGACAAAACCCTACATTAACCCTAAACCAAACCAAAATAAATCCTACACCATTTTTAAAACAAATCCTGACGAAACCCTTATTAACCCTAAACCAACCCCAAAGAAACCCTAAACCAACCCGAAATATACTGTAAACCAACCCCTAAATATACCCTAAACGAAACCTAAACAAATCCTAAACTATAAATAAACCCTAAACCAACCTTAAAACAAATCCCGACGGAACCCATCCTTACCCTCTACCAACCCTGTAAAATCCCTCACCCAAGCCATGAGGAAACCCTGCAGAAGCCATGCTGGCCATGATGGTCACCGGATGTTGAGGTGCCACACCTTGGCCGCGTCGCCCTGGCGTCACCGCTGGTTCCACGGAATCAAATAACGAATCAACGCTGATGCCCATATATATATATTACCATATATAAATATAATATCTACCATATATAATGATGGGTTCACATATATATATATATATATAATACCATATATAATGCCTCTAAGATCCTCCAGGAATTAGCTTTGGGTTCGCATCTGTCGAACACACGCACTGCTTTTTGAGGGCGCGAACAAAAAGGTGCACATGCCCTCTGATTCTGGGATGAGACTGCCTCGATTTTCTGCTCATTCACCCGCCAGAAAGAGCAAATCACCATCAAAATTGTAGGGAAACTCATTTGGGTGTGTCTGAAAATAGTGTACCCCTAAACCCAATGGTTAATGATCATTATCCCTATTAAATGGCTATAATTGGGAATATACCCTATTTTCAGACAAACCCATTTCTACTGTTTCTTGGGACCAGAATCTGCACCCAAAAAACACCGCAGTTTTGAAATCAAGTCCGAAACTGCGAGTGTGCCTTGTCCTCCGCCAGCTGAATCAGCAGTGAAACCTCTGCAGGGCTTGTGAACCATCCCCAATGACTTACAATAAATGGTTGGTTCAAAAAACATCCTTAAAATGGTATTTCTTTATACCTATGCGTGCCATACCGTAAATGTAGTTATGGCTATCCTCAAAAGGTGTCATTCTGAGCATGTGTATATATATATATATGTATGTATACATCTGGGTAAATTATAATATTTCACTAACCTGAATTAAGGCCATGTGGGGATGATTTCCCTTATTAACCATGATATAATCTACCAACATATATATATGTATATATATATATATATATTGGTCGTAATGTTCCCTTGCAGATGCTCCAGCATATGTGATGCTGTGGTAAGATGGGTGGAGGTGGGGTCAGGTGCTGGGATCAAGACCTTCGTGGCAGTGGCGTTGGAACAACAACATCAGCTGCCAAGATCCGTGGATCCGTGCACGACCAAAGCTGAAAGCCCAAAACTGGACACAATTCTTGGGCTGGTTGGTAGTATACCTACCCCTCTGAAAAATATTAGTCCGTTGGGATTACTATTCCCAATATATAGAAAATACAAAATGTTCCAAACCACCAACCAGTTGGGCTAACAGTGTGTTTTTTGTTGACAGATTCGTCATGATTCATCAACAATTGACCATTTTCTAGCCCCCAAAATCAACTTTTTCGGAGCAACAAAACCGCTGTTTTCGTCTGGAAATTGCCTCAGTGCTCAAGGAAGGCAACCATTGGCAGCTCTGTCGCCTCATCTCCTGACAGTTGCCATGGCTTGGCATATCTAAAACACCAGGCCGTTGGGATTACCCTCTGGTAAACATACAAAAAACTATGGAAAATCACCATTTTTCATGGGAAAAACTCACTATAAATGGCCATTTTCACTAGCTATGTTAGTTTACCAGAGGGTACAACTTCTATGGATTCACTGGACAGGAAAACCATGAGCCCATTTCTGAGTGAAGCGAAGCAGCGAAGCGGCTAGCACGGTATACCATTGGCCAAAAATGGGTCGATCGATGTCTTGAAAAAATTCCAAAGTGCTATGTTGCATCCAAACTCGGCCAAACTAGCATCTGGATCCATCTGGTTATTTGTGCAGTTAGACATGGAAAGATCCACCCATTTTGAAGTTGGGCCATCTATACCATGGCAAACTGTTAGTCATAACCAAAGGGTAGTTCAGGATGGTGCCATTATTTTGTATCTAGCCCAAGGCCCAAGGCGTCCCAAAAATTGCCGACATTCCCAAAAAAAGCTCGAAAACAGGAAACATAAGAAACCATACGAAAACAGAACACAAATCCATAAGAGACCCTTAAGATACCCTTAAGAAACCCTGAGAAGCCATACCCATATGCTCAATGTATGGAATACCAACATTTACCCCATAAAAGACCCAGTTTTGTAGGTACCCTCTGGAAAATTTGTTACATAACTATGGAACATCACCATACAAGGTGGTGCCCCCTAGTTATAAATTGGTTTATAAACCCCATGAACTATGGATATATCACCAACAAAAACCATAGTGACATTGGAGTTATGTTCACCAACTTAGCTAACTATGGGGCACCATTGTTAATGGGAAAATCCACTATAAATCACCATTTTCAATAGTTATGTTAGTTCACCAGAGGGTAAAAGGGATAATGATGGAATATGTTAGTTTACCATAGAAATTAGGTGATTTCCCACGAAAAAATGGTGGATTTGTCCATCGAACTCGCTGCCTGAAGAGGAAGCCATGGAAGCCATCTGGCCATTTGCTGGTCGTACTGCAGGGGCAAGACCTGTGCGGAAAAAAGCGGGCACGGCTATATGTCGCATCTGTGCCATGTAAAGTAAATAAACTCATGTGATGTAGATTGCGTAATTATCAAGTAATATATATATATTTAGAATATATGACATATATACTATGATATTATGTAATATACATATATACAATAGTGTAATATATATATATACAATAATGTAATATATATATATATATGTACAATACTATATATATATACACAATAATGTAATATATATATATAAATAATGTAATGTATATATATATATATGTATATCTAATAATTCTACGTATATATATATAAATATACATATACTGTGGATACAAACACAATCGATAAGAAATTAAGGCTTGCCATGCCTGTCCTAGGTGATTTGAGGGCAAAACTAATGGATCTCTTGGGGAAGTAATCTCAGGCTGCCAGCTGCCACTTTCTTCTGAGCTATTCCCGAAGAGAATAGCTACTGAAACCCTGCATGACTTGGGTCTTCTTCATATATCAAGGGGATTCATTTGATTCACTTCCCCAAAAGTTGCAATCCCGATAATAGATTGTTACTAAGGCCTCAGTGCTTGTTGGTGGGTACGATTCGCCCTGGGGCCCCAAACATTCTTCGGGTCACCGAAATGGAGGATTTAAAAATTTGGCTTGGCTACTCATTGGCACAGAAAAGGCCGTCATCGGACCGTCAACATGCCGTCAGCATCCTGATCCGACTTTAAGACTTTAAGAGCTGCACCTTGAATGGAAGGGGCAACCTTTGGGACACATGAGAAAAATCAGTGCCATCGAAAACCCGTTTGCTCCCTGGATTTGTTGGTGCTGGCCTCTCGACCGGCCTCCTGGCGAGGCCAGAAGATGCAAATTAAATTCTTATGGGTTTTAACCTCCAATCTATGGTCACTGGTTGGTGGTATACCTACCCCTCTGAAAAATATGCTCGTCAGTTGATCAGTTGGGATTATTCTTCCCAATATATATGGAAAAATAAAAGCCATGTTCCAAACCACCAATCAGAGGTCACTTTTACTTGGAGAATGGTCATCATGGTAAAAATCCATTGGAGCTGAAAGTATCCCGGTATCAAACATATCATATGTCCGGCCGCGTCTGAGGATATCACTGGAATCACTGGAAGTATCACTTGCACTCGTCTGGGGTGCAGTGAAAGTGTTGATGGCTTTTGAATCTACCCTCTGGTAAACTAACATAACTATGGAAAATCACCATTTTTAATGGGAAAATCCACTATAAATGGTCATTTTCAATGGCTATGTTAGTTTACCAGAGGGTAACATATTAGCATATATTTGCAACTGTGCAGACCTACAGACTTATCGCGATTCGTTGTCTTCTTGGGCCTTGGGTGTCTGTTCTGTAGCATTTCCCAACACAATTCCCTGTACCGCATATATCAACTGCATGTTGTACACAGCAATACACATTTTGTCTTAAGCCTTCCAATTCTGACAAGCTCTGACAAGCCGCCAGACTTTACAAAGAAATCGCTTCACTTTCCACCAGGTCCAGTAGTTCCCTGGCGCTGCTCCTTCCGTTGCAAGGCCAAACCTGGAATGCGGGACCAGGTATCTTCATCTTCCCAGCGAATCAGGAAGCTCTCACCTTGGTAATCAAACTGGCGGTCGAATAATGGGTCTGACATGGGTATCATCGGTACCAAAGGTTCACCACAAACACACGCCATGGATCTGAGCATCCACAACTGTCAGCTATCATGATGTGAAAAGCAGGGGATTCGATCGGTTTTGACTCATAGCCGTATAGCTATCACCAATCTTGAAGGGCTTGAAGATTCATTGTGCGATCAGCAGCTGAATCTACAGTATTGATTTCAATTGATGTTCTTTGAACAGACTCTAAAGTTTCTAAGGAACACCACAGCGTGAACATATTTTAAAAAACTAACACATACAGCTGGACAAAAATGACTATATGATACTGTATGCACATGCTTTGTATCTCATATATATTCCTCTATATATTTTGATCGGAAACATCATAACTACCATCCGGTAATCAAACCGTTTACACCTCCATTTACAAGGGATTCTCCAGCCAGCCATGATCACAATCGATCCCTGCTCCCGATCGACGTCTGCCAAGTATCGCTGATAGAAGCCCCTACAATTGCTGTGTGGAACCTGACACATCGAAAGACGGGGGAAAGTCCCGTTGGTGAAAAAAAACGCCCGCGGGAATACATTCCATATTTACATAGACTATCATAGGCTATATAATTCATTATAATTCCCCTATTTCATAGGAATATATTTACATGTATATTTACATTCTCATAGGCTATATAATTAATTAGAGATGTTCAACTGTTCATCCCCTATTTCAACGGGTTTTTGGGGATGAAACCACATATTTGGGACCATAGAATGGGGATGTTGAGATCCACGCTGAACAGACATTTCAAAGCTATTGCCCCCATCACAACATTTACCTTTGCTACTCTAAGAGGGGCCAGCCACTCCTTTGCCACTCTCAAAGAGAACGTGGGGGCACAACCAACCCTTCAAAAGGTGAATCGACCAATAATAGATGGTTTGATGGTTCAGGCAATATATAAAGATGTGGTTTTCACCTATCAGGATGTGGAAGGTTTGAAATCCCTTGTTTTTATGGTGGAATTGGTGGCTAAGATCTGCCCTTACACCATTGTTATTACCTTTCAAAGTTGATTTGCTGACTTCCCATCTAAATTGATCAAATTGATCTGGCCACACAGTGTATGCCACAACTTTTCCACCATCTGACCATCTGCTCCCAACATTTAGACCTTGCCAGCATCTCCAGTTTGATGAAGAATGAAGGAGTCATCTGACTCGTCTACCAGAAGTGTATCCCGGCTTCCTGTGTGACGAAGGGGAGAGATGAATCATGACAAAATGGACCCTTTATCTATCCCAATCTTAGTTTCTTTTGGAAACAAAACAATCAAATGGCAGTGTGTCAAAACCTTGTACCCCTGGTGAACATCAAAATAGCTGGTAAATGGATGTTCATCCCATTAAAAATGGTATGTATAGGTATTGATCCATGCCCAAATCTTCGACTAAGAATAGATTCTGACTTTGAAAATGAAACCACACGAAGCATCCACCTCCAACCAATCAACCCTGGTTGGTTCAAATCAATTCAAATCAGGGGGGCTTATGATAATCCCCAGTATAGAATGGCTAATACAATCCCTCAATAATCAACTAACCATCATTTTTTCGACTATATTCCAACTTTTTTCATTGTTTCCGTCATCAACCGTCCCGGAATCCTCTGACCTATTCGTTTCAGGCTTTCCCCTATAAAACCGAAAGGTTTTTCCCTAAAAAAAACAGGTTTCCCCATAGTTTCCCCTAAAAATGGTGGTTTTCCCCTTGATTTTTCCCCTATAAAAACCAGGTTTTTCCATGGTTTCCCCTATCAAACCCAGCTTTTTCACGGCAGAACATCCACGGTGAACTCGCCACAATTTGGCACCTTGGGGCCAGATGACCTGGTCGCCCAGAACTTCGATGGGTTCTTCGTCCTCACTGCGCCAGGCCTGGGATTCAGAATGTCTGTAGAGCATGTAGAAGATATGTCATAACAATGGAAATAATACATGCTCTATTATACAATATTTATAGTTATTATTAAATGGAAATAATGATATACCGTATACCTGGGATATTTCATAACAATAATGATATATGGTTGATCTATGGTTGATCTATGGCTGATCTATGGCTGATCTATGGTTGATCTATGGTTGATCTATGGTTAAATCCATGATAATAATAACTACCAATGATAAGTATAATAATGGTAATAATAATAAATATACTGTATATACTAATGATAAGCAAAACAAACTAGTAATAATAATAATGTAGCAAATATATATATATATATATATATCAAAAATAACCAAGTAATCAAAACATCATAACAACCTTAGTAACCAACTGACTAACTCGCCCACTCATAAATGCTTATATAGATAAATGAGTTTTAAATGAATAAAACAACAAACAACGAAACAAAAATGCAAAAAAACTAATCATAGAATCGACTCCCCAGATCCATCGGGTCCATCGGTCGTCCGGTCGGGTCACTCCCTGGAGCTCTTGGAGGATTTTGGGCCAAGCGTTGGATTCCAGGTGCACGCGTCCTGTCCTCAGGATTTCATGGGGATTTCATGGCGATTTAATGAAGATTTCATGAGGATCTGCCCTTAAAATCCATCAAACATGGGATCATCATCAACTTTATTGAATGGGATCGGCCCGTCCTCGGTAGTTTAAGAGTTCTCTATGGACATGTACCCCTTTTGTTCCATGATTTACCTCTTAACAATGTTGTTTTTTCCATGTTATAAGGATAAAGAAGTGATCAAATGTGATAAGGATGTACAAATCGTTATAAATCACAGTTGGATTTCATGGACATGGACTCAATATGTAATGTCAACGCCGCATTGATAAAGTAATAAACGCTGATTCATTACCCTCTGGCAATTTAACATAGCTATGGAAAATTGCCCAGTTATAGTTGATATATATATATATCAAAAGTGAGATTTTCGATAGTTATGTTAGTTTACCAGTGGGTAATTGGAGGGGTACCAGTGGTAATCTGGTACTAAAATGGCACCCCCCCAATTAAACAGCCAGGAGTGTATTGATCCAGGGTTGACAGGATGTTCACTTCTTGGTTCGTTCGAAAGCTACCGGGAGAGTTTACTCGGGGTCGATCTCGGGATTGTTTTTGGCGTGCACCGTTTGGGGCGGAATCTTCAAGCATGAAGCAGCGTCAGGCAGCATGATGGCTTGACGACCAGGTGTCAGAAACTGATATGGTTCTTGAAAACATCTCACATATACATCAAGAATCTAAAATATATAGATTCATATATTAAATGTATCTATATGTGTATGTATATATATATACACATATCAATACATATATATATACATAAACATATATATATATATTACATCCATCAATACATATAATATAATATAATATAATATAATATAATATATAATATATAATATAAAATATATAATATATAATATATAATATATAATATATAATACATAATACATAATACATAATATATAATATATAATATATAATATAATATAATATAATATGATATAATATGATATGATATAATATAATACAATATGCTATAATATAATTTTCATATTATAAATATATATATATATATATATACACAGCATCTTCGTCTACGCCAGTCGTGGCCCTTCCACCAGCCTCAGATCCAGGAAACTGAGCCAGGGCCTTGGACCAAAGGGCCCCGGCCGGTGATGTGAAGGTTGGTTTATAAGTCTCTATTAAACGTATTGTTATAATGATGTTTATGATTGTGATATGTATATATATATTATATTATCAATACCATAATAGTGATATATCGTGCTGAATTACGATTGTTTGAAAATGATTAGTTACAATGATGAGTTATAATGAGTATATTATAGTTACCTAGACCCTCCAAATACAACCCAACAAATGGTAAAAGTACTAAGATTAGTTATTGGGTAAAACATTTTTTGTTGCGGGTACAACCGGATTGTCTAGAGTCTAGATAGTTGTATCTACCATAAACCAAAGTTAAGCCCAAATTAGAAACCAACTTCGATTCTCTTAGGTCTTGGATATCTAGGAGGGCCCACGTTGCACTTTCCCCGATCATATAAAATACACCCAAGCAATACCGATGGTTTAGTATTGGTTCTATCCATTGTGGGGGTTCATAGGGTGGTATCTAATGTTAGGGGCATTAGTTTGGTAGAAAAGCACCCATTGCATCTCTTTCAAGTTTCTACATGTTCCTTGATGCCTGTTCCGCTAGTCTTGAGTTGAATGGTCATCAATTATCAATAAAGTTATCAACATGAAAGGCGTCGCACGACCAATGTTTCCACACATAGAAGACCTGACATCAAAACTGTGATTGAACGCTGAAGAAGAACTTCCTCGAAAGCCTCTTTCATTCTGAACAATTCTTAAAGTACTTGCAATATCTCAGACTCGGAAGTGCTTCAAGTTGAATAGGTGTATTCAGAATATCTCTATTAACTTTTGCAAGTGACATAAATACCATCAATTATATGGAGGTTTTAAAATGTGGATACCCCTAAATCATCCGTTTTAATAGGACTTTCCATTATAAATCCTGTATTTTGGGCTACCCCCATGACTATGGAAACCCCCATATCAGGAGCTGACATAACCATGTCTATCCGCCACTTGGCCATGACAAACTCACAACGCCATCGGTCTCTGCCTGGACACACCTTTGGGGACTGAGATACCGTACCCTGCAGCAAAGCTGTCGTTCACTTTGCGCCTCAGTTTTCTCATCATGGCTGTTTTTTTTGTTTAAATGTTGTTTTCTTATTTGGGCATTTTTTCTGGTATAACTTTCCACCACTTTCCAGTGACCCGAATGAGATACCCTCTGGTTATTTGTGCCATAGCCATGGAAAGACCCATTTTGAAGTTCGGTAAACCATCTATTTCGATGCCATGGCATTACCGTGGCGAACTGTGACTGTCATAACCAAAGGGTAGTTCAAAGGGTAACTATTCACCATGAGATAACTGAGGTTTTGACTGGAATAGTTGAGGTGTTCACTCAGGATATCAACAACCCAACCTCCCGGCCAAGTGAGGCAACATGACTGGTCCAAAAATCTTAAGATGTCAATGTAAAACAAAGAACAGGTATAGTCTATTTATAGTCTAGATATATTATAGTATTTAATAGCATTTATATCTATCTATACTTTATTTATAGTGTCATCATATTCATTTCATATTCATACTTGATCGTAATTAGTTCAACAATTATTCAGTTCTCCACGCCGCGTCCGTGACTGGGATCCCGGCAAGCGCAGAACCACCCGCTTGCCGTCTTCGGACAGGTGATATTTGCTCTGATCTGCCACAGAGCTAAGCCCCAGCCAACCACTGAAGCCATGGAATGGAACCCCATAGGATGGATAGGATATAGAAAATAATGGAAACTTGGAGGGACAATTGTGAGAATTATGATCTCCAACATTTTGAAAAGTGAATTGAAACTCATCATCTCGATCCGACGCGATAAATTCATATTCGGGACTCTGAAAGGGGCACCCCGCTGGAAGTTTGCTGCCCATCAAGGCGTTCGATTGTAAAATCAAACCGCGCAGCGCAGAATGTTGGCAATTTCGGAATAGGAAACTGTGAAGAGCCCGAAAATCTCAATGACTCATTTAAAGAAAACATGGATTCATTGATTCATTGTGGGTTTTATTTCTTATTATTTCTCCTTACTTTAAAAGCACCAGCAGCAGCAACCTGGGAGAATTGCACCCCAGAGATTGAGCCACTGGAAGCGGTGAGTGGTGTGCATCCTCGGAGGGGTCAACTGTCAAGACCCCCTGTTTGTACCCCCAAAAAATGTTCAAAGTACTAAACTTACGAGGTAAAACGGTAAGACAAGGTAAAACACCAGTTGTAGACCGGCTACAAACGGAGGGACTTTTTTCCGGTAAGGAAGAAAAGTTGGTTTTAGGGACCACCAAAAAGGGACCGAAAATGAGACAAGAATATCAACCATATGTAGTATTCATGGGGCTTATAAACCCAAAAAAAACATCACTGGAGGGACTTCACCTTGTACCACTGAAATGGCCATGTCGCCATGAGCTGAGTTGACTGAGTTGACCATGGGGATAGAACCGACATGATGACTGGGGGGTTCTTTATTAAACTATAGGGGCTCCCCAAAACATCCCAAAACCATGGGTTTCAATAGAAAAAATGCATAAAAATGACTTGGATGATTTGGAGGAAGCAAAAAATCACTGAACGGACACCTCCATCTTGGTATAGCTCCAATGACGATAAAACTCGAACGTCGAACCCAAGCCCAAATAGTACAGTAACAATTTATGTTATCAATGGTTGTTCAGTGAAAGCCCTGTATACCAGCTATAAATGGTGTGTATATAATATGTATATATATATATGGATACAATTTGTTATTAGTGGGGTTATTAATCCATAAATGATCATAGATGGATGATAAGTGACTTATAACTGGTAAAGAGCCATAATTGTTGGTCCTTCCATATCTTTAGATTTTCATCTGTTGGTCTTGTTGGGGCTACATCAAGTACTGTCCAGGGGAATGAATGCATTCCTCGCAAGCAAATCAAAGAAATTGTTTCAACAAAAAGTTTACATCCAGAGATGACTATGCAACTTGGGGTTGGTGGCGAAGTGAGGTAAGCCAGCGCCCAAACGGCACTTTGAACAAATCCAGGTGACAATGTGTCGGTCACGATGATGCGAAGAAGCTTCGGCCTGACAAGCGTGGCTTGACGAGTTCTGAGGTTATTGCCTGCCGGGAGGCTTTTTGTGCGAAGCAGCATCATAGTTCTTGGCAAAGCTAGTTACAAATTGTTGACGATTATTGACATCTTCCAAAAATGCTTAGATGTTCCATGTGTTTTTCTCCTATGATATTCTATGATGTTCCATCATTTTCTATGGCCTATCAGGCAATCCCTGCAAGATCTGCTACTCCACGCTGCAAGATTTCCTTATCCAACAAACTTCTTGACAATGTCACTAGGAACCCCCTATATTTCATGGGGAAAACCATGGTTTACTCTAGACTTTCCCTTCAACCAATCCAGTGACAATGAGCTTCCTTCTTGCAAAAAATATCGACACGCACACACACACATATACATATATACATAATTAAATATATATATATACAGACATATATATATATAAATCAATCATATCAAATCACGTAACGTTTAGCCATGTTTGACCGCAAAAACTATCCAATAAACTTGAATAAACACTTCCCAACATGATCACAAATAATCGCTACATATCAGTACCAGTAGGCTTCCCTTTTTCTCTGAAGAGGTGGCCCGCCCGACTCAGTAACAGCCAAGCCGATACGGCCTGATGTCGACCATCACCAATCCATTCCTCAGTGTTCCCGCCGGGTCCTGATGATAACTACATATATATATACACACACTATTTGGTGGTTTCAACCCTCTGAAAAATATCTTCCCAATATATTATATATGGAAAAAAATAAAATGTTCCAAAGCACCAACCAGTATATATAATTATATATAGTATATGCCATTCGAGTCCATTCGACATATCAAATCATGATTAGTATGGCGATGTAACAATGTGATATACAATAATTATGTATATTCTGTATACATCATTATTGTATATCGGGTTTGATAAATCAGCTCCTAACCACAACGACTTTCAATGTCAAAGATCAGCTCAAACCACATCTCAAACAAAATTCAGCGGGTCAAGTTTCCAGAATCCTCAGAACCTGGGATAGAACACCCGGATAGCCATTTTTTGGGGTACCCTCTGGAAAACATACAAAAAACTATGGAAAATCACAATTTTTAATGGGTGAATCAACTATTTCAATGGCCATGTTCAACAGCTATGTTTGTTTACCAGAGGGTACCTAGTGCCTCAGACTTATAGCTGTGTGGTCTTCACATTTCTTGTGGCATGGCTAATCTTTGAATATCTTTGATACATTTTGATACCCCTATTCTGTTTGAAACTGATCTACATATCCCCGTTCAGATTAGGGGGCAGGGGTCGCACCCGGCTTCTTCTAAGCATAAACCAGTGGGATTTTGAAAAGCCTTGTAAAAAGAATAGGTTTTAGGAATTTTGGCCCTTACAAAAAGCATAGGTTTTTAGCACCCACATTCGACTTTAAAATCCTATATCATTTTGTAAGGTGACAACTTTCTTCATGATATGAATGTTGTATCCCACTCGATGACCTTTTTATAAGAAATTGTGATTTCAGATAGCGTTTTCGGGCATCATTTTGTAAGGCAACAACTTCTGGTTCCCTGTTTCTGTTTTTCCGGACTCGTTGATTTTCAAGCAGCCTTTTTGTAAGGATTCCTTTTCTTTGCCACCTTTTATGTTGTTGTATTTTTGCTTCTTTGGCCTCATTGCCTACCACAACTCCTCTCATGATGTCTCTTTGCCTATAGATCTGAACAACAATTTGTATCAATGCCTAAAACGCATATTATTCTTACAAAATGGTTCTTCTACTCTTGACGACATCTCCTTACAAAATGTCATTGCACACCCTTCTGAGTTGTTTGTTTTTGTTTATGTTCAATAGCAGCATCTTGAGCTTATAAAAAGCCTCAAAACAACAATTTCGATGGTGTTATAAAATGAGTTGGCCCCTCAAAACTCTTACAACATGAACACTTCAAAATGGACAACTTTGCCTTTTAGGTGCCCTGTTACAAAATGCCCTGGTTAGGGGGCTCATTGTAACTACAAAATGCCTATATATAAACCATTTATAAGAGGATCGACCCCTTCATACCCCTTCCAAAATATAAGGGAAATTTGGTATCTACATCATGTCTATAGATGCCTATAGATCCTAGTTAATATGCATATGTCCCCATGCATCTAGTTCTGAGACAACACCATGCACGTCCTTTCCATGACCTCGGAAGCCAAGCTTCAGATTCAACATCTTCAAGCGATCTCCGCGTGTCGGTGCGGGCACAAGGGCCCATAGCAGCACGGTACGGTCCTGGCTCGTTTTTTTGGGCATGGGAATGACCCACCAATCGAATGGCTTCCAAACATGGTACCCTAGGGCCCTAGGGTAAACGTTTACATGTGGAAAATGCATGGGTTTCCTGTAGGAAAATCATCTACAAATTTCAAATGCTGGGTTTTCAACATCCACGGTAGTTTACAGGGGGTACAGAAAAACCCTGAGGGGTGGGATGACCATGCTCCAATGGGAGATGGGACTATGATGACTATGGTCGACCATTGGAACATGGCCAGACAAAAAATTGGACATCGTAACAGGCCTGGAACCAATAATATATTTATACATATATATATATATATATGTTTTATGTGTTTGAGATATGAACATAGCAGATTTACCTTCAATTTTTTCACCAAATTCAGATATTTCAGTCGTTTCCGCGTGCAATTTTGGGGTATGAACCCCCTTGTGGTCACGGGCCTCTTACAGTACAGGTGCCGCCACCATGTTTGTACAACCCATGACAAACCCATAAGTGGATCGACCAGGATCTATATAACAAGCTAACTGGGAAGACATGACTAGAGCTGGAAATATCTGATGATACATTTGTATCTTACAACTTCAAAATATAATCCGATATTCAGGTGATGTTAAGGATCCATAGCTGCTACCTTTTGCTCACCCCCCATAGTTTCTCAGCCAATCTGTTTCGTGGGTCAAATCCGCCGGCCTGCCGGCGTGTCTGATCGACCAGCATAGGTTGTTCAAGCAGGCGCTTGCTACTCAAGCTGCTTCTGATCTACGGCTCTGTCTTCGTCTCATCTTCTTCCACTTCTTCCACTTCTTCCTCTTCTTCCTCTTGTTCCTCTTGTTCCTCTTCTTCTTATTCTCTTCTCTTCTGCTTCTCTCTCAGGCTTCCACTTAGCGTGCACATCAACTTCCCTTGGGGCAATCTCTCTCCGCTTCCACCGTGTCTCCTTCCATGCAGCGGTCTGCTGTCAAGCCAGAGGCTCATACATAGTACCTGGCGCTACTTTGCTGGGGGGTGTTATAGCCAGCACTTGCTACACAAGCCGCTTCCGTTTTAACTCCCTTGAGGCCACCTCTCTATGGCAGACGGGCTTGCCGAAGGCAATTAAATATCAATCTGGGTGTGACTCTGAAATTGATACCACCAAATGGCCACTATGAAAATGATGACGTGCCATTGGACTTGGTGATATATTCAATATATTCCCATTTTCTATTCCAAATCCCATGTGTTCATATATTTTTTCCAAAGAAACCTTCAGCTTTTTCTCAGCCTTAGCACCTATTTTTCGCTGGCTGTCCTCGTCTCTGAAACTCCAGGAGGGTTCGGGGCTGCACACGGCATCCACATCTGCCAACCAATCCTGCCACAGAAATTCAAGCAGCACATCTGTGAAGTAATTTTGTTGTTGAGTTTTTTGGAGACCTTTGGCCAAAAGTTGAACAACACTCATAAAAATCCCATCCAACATGTCTTCAATGATAACATTCAACATATTTTTATCAGGTTTTATCAGCTTTAATCTCATTCTACACCACAAAAAGTATATAGAACAATGCCACACCCCACCATTTGGGGACCCTCTGGTGAACTTTGACGAAACTCAAACACCATCAGTAGATGACAAAAAAAATGTCAACAAAAACATCTGGAGGTTTCCTAAGTCATGGGGCTACCTCCAAATCATCCATGTATAGATGGATTTTCCATGAAATAAACCATCCAGCGAACTTGGGGTACTCCCGTGACTATGGAGTGTCCACAATCTTTTAGGTGTCCTCAGCTTCATGTCACTCCATGCGGATGAATCAGCAAGGCCTACGATTTTCATGGTGATTTGCTTTTCGAAGTGACTTGGTGAAGTTGGTGAAGACAAATCCGAGTTTTGAATCACCAAATCTCAGTTTCTCCTGAGCTTGCTCCATCGGTCATCTGCGCCATGAGGGAAGCAGCCAAAGGGTGCCAATGATCTCCATCGAATCCGCGTGACTTCGAATAGAGAAGGGGCGTTGTCATAGCTCCTTGAGGCATACCAGGTGCCATGTCACTTCAACCTAGTGAGGTTGAAGAACTTGTAAATTTGGGAATGGGTGAAGTAACAAATGGCGAACATTTTCCAATTGGGATTTCCATTGCAAATTGGGTTCTTATTGACATGCCGTTGGCTTTCACAAGTGGCATCGCAGAATAGGTTAACAATTTGCGGTACTTTGCGCGATCTCCAGCATGAATGATGCAGCAAAGAAATAAGTCGTGTTCCCGTTCTCAGGATCTGCCAAATGAATCTCAGTGGAATCTATGTCTGATCAAACAAGTGTACCCTCTGGTAAATTCACAGTTCGCTATTGAAAATGGCCATAGAAATAGTGGATTTACCCATTGAAAATGGTGATTTTCCATAGTTTTTTGTATGTTTACCAGGCCGGGTATTTCCACGAAATCGATCGACTTGAAAAAGCTGCACTCCGAGCGGCACTTTTTCTGAGAAAATTTTGCTCTGACACATTCCACCGCTGCGAAAATATAAACATGTCCTTCCACCATGGTGGCAACATATTCACACACATACCCATAGGATCCCATAGGATCCATGTATGGTATATATTGGTATATATGGTAACATTTACCAATATACCCCCTTTATGTTAGCATATATACCAGCACCATGGATCCTATGGGATAGCAACAAAAATAGAGAGTCGTCTTTCAACCAAGCCAGTTGCGTTTTCAAAAGTACCATGATGGTTCCTTTAACAAGTCGCCCGAACGTTGTAACTGGAAGATCAGCACGCTAATGGCTTGGAGGGACAAATGCAAGGGAAGCCTTGCAATCAAAGTTGGCAAGCGGCAGCGAGAATCAGGTGGAAAATAAACCAGGATGCACAGGTATGGAAGATTATCATTTGTATATTAAATATATATATACATATGTATCAATGTATTTGTATATATATAAATATATATATATATTCATGTATTTATTACAAATGTATATATAGTTGTGGTTCCATAATGTTGCAACACTTTATTGAAAAAAATCGTTTCCAGAAGTTATGGAATTGTCGACTGGACCAGTCTTTCTTCCTGCGCATCCCTTCAATGATAGGCCCTGCGCAACCAGTTATGTTGATCACGCTCGAAACAAGCCAAAGAACTGTTTTGTTTCTCTATATGCATGCACCTAGACCCTTCAAGTACATTTAAACATTGGGTTTTACCCACTATTTTTAGTATTGGAGAGTTTAATATATGTATGTTCTGCATATAATGTAGTCATTATATATATAAAGACTCACAAGTTTGTCTGCCCCTTTTTTGCACAGCAAGACCTATTTGGTCATAAATTGAAAAGGAAAATAGGTTATAAAATTCCAAAAATACTGCACCGTCCAATTTGGACTGTTAACCATCATCCTCCCTGAAAATTATTTTCAGTCACTCCCCCCATACCCCCTCGCCAAGCCGAGGTGGGCATGAGCCACAGAGTGAAGGTAGTACTGGGCCCCGCCAAGCCGGGGAACGACCAGTCCGCCTACCTGTTTTCTCTCTTCTTAACCAACGATTTCTTCTTGGAAGTTTTACTCCCCATGTGGAGGGTGGTTGTGGGAGCTGAGCCGAAACTCGGCGAAAAAAGCCGTCATTAAACATGTTCGTCTTTACATTCGAGGGCGTTCATTCAAAGACTCACAAGTTTGTCTGCCCCTTTTTTGCACAGCAAGACCTATTTGGTCATAAATTGAAAAGGAAAATAGGTTATAAAATTCCAAAAATACTGCACCGTCCAATTTGGACTGTTAACCATCATCCTCCCTGAAAATTATTTTCAGTCACTCCCCCCATACCCCCTCGCCAAGCCGAGGTGGGCATGAGCCACAGAGTGAAGGTAGTACTGGGCCCCGCCAAGCCGGGGAACGACCAGTCCGCCTACCTGTTTTCTCTCTTCTTAACCAACGATTTCTTCTTGGAAGTTTTACTCCCACTTCCCCCTGCCCTGCCACGAGTGGCATGCTCAAGTTTTGGCAAGGGAGAAGTTTTGGCTCTAAGGAATTGCTGGTGAAACACTCGTGCATGAGGGGTCAATTTCAGATTTGTTTCAGCGAGAGTGGCGATGCCACTGTCAATATACATCCTTGCGGTTCTAGCTGATTGCCACCTCCCCTGAATCAGGAGGCGGTCTAGTTGACCATGGCGTTGAAAGTAGAAAGTTGCGCCACCCCGGCGCAGACTATAGGGTCTATACTGGTATGCAGTAAGCCCTAAGGATTCAATTGAATCATTAAATTGTTTTCTCCACTTGTGGGGGGCACTACAGAGCGAAGTTCCTGGGGAGCAAGACTGTTTCCACTGCCACAACCTACGAAGGGTATCCGCCTCTGTGATGGTGACGCTCTCTGCTGCGCCTGCTCGTTTCCCTCCCTTTGTAAGCCCCAACGAAACAACTGCCACGGACTCTGCTGAGGCTTGTGAGATATCTTTATTGTGGAGACTCAAAAGCTCCCCTGTACGCAGGAGCCCAAAGAATCCCACTAGGAGGGAGAGCGCAAAGGTATAGTTGGAATTAAACAGTGCATGACCTACCAGCGTTTGCAACGCTTGTTCGCTGAGAGGGGGTGCCCGAGCCGGAATTTCATTGGCTGACCACGTTCGCAGCAGGCGCCAGCTACAGACCAATTGCCCCTTGAGGCGAGGATCACGGTCTTGCAGGCCCGCCAAGGTATCCGATGCCAGGCTGCGTCCCTCCCCTTCGCTCCAGATATGCTCCAAAAAGTCTGAAACCAAGGGATCTAAGTTTGCTCTTTGGCGTGGGAGCTCAATTTGGCGCTCATTCAAGAACCTATAGAAGTGGTTAACTGCTTTGGTGTATCTTTCACGAGTTTTGGGTTGTACTGTAAGCTGACGCAAGCTGCCTAGGCGGGCCCTGACGGCCTTTCTCTCTGTCTTACTCCTCCCTTCTAGATGAAGGGCTACTTTCTTCCCCATTTTCTGCACAGTCGCCCCCTTGAAGGGGCATCAGCGGGGTTCAAAGCAGTATGGATGTACGTCCACACTGCTACGTTTTGTGACAGGAGGAGCAGAGAGTTAATCCTGGCCAAAGTACGTCTTAGCTTACGGCTACTGGTTCGCCCTCGTGTGAGGGTGTGTAGACACACCAGCGAGTCGGTCAAATGAACCAACCGTTGCTTCTTGGTCCTTTGCTTTAAAACACACGCCATCTGAGTGCACACAAAACTGCCCTGAGCTCAAGACAATTGATGTGCTCTTTACTCCCTTTCCACTGCCACCCACAAATGGTTCGCCATACCCACAGATTTGATGGTATGCTCGCTCTGAGACGATGGTAGCGGAGTGTTTCTTCGCTAGAAGATGATAGGAGAATGTCCTCTCCCTTGATACTGACCATGTTGAGTAGTTTCTTGACAAGGGCCAATTCATTACCAGGCCTTAAAGGCTTCCTGGGTCCCCCCATAGGTGGCCGTGACAGAAAGCTAGCGAGGTCGTGGTTGGCCCGTGGGGCAGTACGTTCAATGCACTGTTGAACACTCAACGGTGGAATGATACCAAGCGGATGACATAATTGTCCCAACAGCCATGTGACCACCGTCACATTCCATGAGTTACCCAGTAAGGTAAGCCGCAAGTCTTGATGTTCCGACGTGTTGTGCTTGCTCTTTGGTAAACACTGGACCGTGTAGTGACGAGGGAACCCCATTATTACCTCACGTTCTTCCACATTGAGTAGTCTGTGCTCGCTACCACGGACCACCTGGTAGCACAACCGGTACTGATACGGGGGGAACCTGAACTGGTCCGCCTTCCATTGAGCCAGCTCAGTTTCATTGAGCTTGTCAATTCCTGCAGGTTTTCGGCCCGGGAAACTGCGGGGCCTGGATGTGGTGAAGGTCGGGAATGGCTCATCAGAGGCCCGTCGCCACCCAGGAGCTAAATAGGAGTCCGCTGGCACGTCCCCTGACAAAGTAACGGTGCCATATGACAACGCCTCCCCTGTGCTTGGAGGACTCAGCTCAACACCCAAGGAGTCTCTCAACTCCCATGTAATCCAATAGTACCTGGGCCGGCGTGCCAAACTGACTCCCTTTGCATCAATGCCCCAGGGTTGACTGCCAAAGGATTCACTCATAATTTCCCGATCAGCCTCATCCATGGACTGGACTGACTCCATGAGTGTGTGAACTTGAGCCCACGGGAAAGCTTTTTTCACCAGTTCTCTAATACGCGTAACATGCACGTACAGTTTACTACGGTGATCACGAAGGGCTCCGCGCCTGTCGACGTTTAACCCACTGACGCCTTGGCATGGGGGTCCCCCCCCCAGAATTATCAAACCGACCTGAGTGAACTTCCCAGCCCACTCCTTCACCATAGTGAGGTCAACGGCTTCAACATCCGACACCAATATACTGCTTGGAAATCGGGACTCCAAGACTCGTGATGCGGCCGCATTAACCTCAACACTCACATGACCTGCTACTGGCAAACCTGCGGCATCAGCTGCCACCCGCAGAGCGCCCACTCCATCGAACAAACCAATGGTCAGGATTTGAGTCATGTCGTCTACCGAGGCTACGTCTCCCCGCACACTACAGGAGGCTGCCATTTGCCCGACGTTGGTTAATCCGCGGCTAACTGTAACCCCCCCACCAGTGGTGGAAGCGTCACTTGCAGTGACCTGGTCATGCGGTTCCAACCTGAAATCCAGTTGCGCCAGAGGCATCATCGCCAAAAGCCTAACTATCTCCAGTTTCACCACCCGTGGGATTTCCAACCGGACAACTGGTGGGTACTTGTTGAACTCTTCAATGAACTGCCAAATGGCGTTCAAACTTCCCATCAGGGCCCTCTTGAAAGTGGCCAGGTAGACGAGTCCACCGGCGATCACTTGCATTTCTTTTTGCGAGCACCTCCCCGTACGTACGGTTAGGAGTGCCAACTGCGAATACTTAA